TACCAGTAAATCATTTTGTTTGTCAATCGGACAAAATTCTGATTATAATTTTTTTTAATAAAAAATAATAATAATTCCTTTAAGCGCGACTCACAATGGAATGAAATTGAAAATAAATAAATTTAAAAAAAAAAACTTTTTAATATACCACGCTTTTATAAATGGACTAAAAAGTAGAAAACAATATTTCTCAGTCCCATAGAATTTGTTTTGATAACTTTTGATTTTGAAATTTTAGCAAAAGTCTTTATAAACAATTTATGGGATTGAAAACGAAAAACGTAGAGCGCATGCAATACAAAGCTATAGCGTGGTTTATTAAAAAGTTTTTTTTTTTTAAATTTATTTTGTACTTTTTAGTCTTGTCTGTATAAAATTTTGAAACAGATATTAAAATAATTAACTTGCAATGAAAAGGGAATACTATTGCGTCAAATACACCACACAATTATTTGCGCAAATACAAATTAGTAGAAATAAGATTCTAACTCGATTCCTATTTGTAAAAGTTGTTATTTGCGGAAATACGGAATGGAACGGACGGCTATATGTACATATAAATATACCGCCGCGAATTTGTTTCTCCCGAGAAAGAAATCCACCAATAATTAAATCCCAGGGAGTCGCATTTCCCCCGAAAATTTGGGTGCAGGAAATTCGAACTTCGAGAGAGCTGTTGGACACTTTTTTGACAGCTCAACTCCGCCATTTAATATAAAAAAAATCTTCGGGGGAATTTTTATTCATGATAGGAGGAAAGGGAAAAAGAGAAAACTTGCAGGGAGTTTCTGTTCAGAATCGGCCTGATAAAGTTTGTTCGATTCGGCTTTGCATTATCTTGATACGTGGTTTTGCATTTTGTTGATATGCGGTTTTGTAATATAAACGACGATATCGTTCCAATAATAAAAAGCACACGGTTGCCATGGCAGCAAGTAGCAAATTTGCAAATGCAATCCCAACTGCAAATCGAGGACCATTTTCACAACATTCTGGGCAGCCCCAATGTTTTTCAAATCCATTTATCAGTTTTTTCACATTTATTTAAAAAATAACAATTATTTGCTAACAGTTACTAATATACATGCATAGGTGCAGTTTGTATGCTAACTGGCATGTCATCTAAAGACAGTGCATCCGGATGAAAGG